ACAGTGGATAGAACGTTGACCTGCAAACCTATGGGTCCTGGGTTTGATTCCTGTCAAAAGCACATACCTCGGTTGCAGGCTCCTCCCCAGGCCGCGCCCTGGTCAGGGCACGTGCAGGAGGCAACCAATTTGTGTGTTTTTCTCACATCGATATTTCTCTGTTTTTTCCTCTCTTCCACTCTCCCTAAAAAAATCAATGGAAAAATGTCCTTGGGTGAGGACTGTGTGTGTGTGTGTGTGTGTACACACACAAATGACAAAACTATTTTGAAAGCTTAGGTGGAGATTTCCGCCCTGAAAAAAAAGGACAGCACTAATGTCCCTAAACTTCTACAAAAGAAGTTTGCAAAGCATGTCCACCATGGCCTGTAGCACCCTTTCTGTTTCTTACCAGATCCCGCTGATCCTCCTGGACCAGATCCATCTTGTGCACCAAGCAAAAGATTTTGGCATCTGGAGAGTTCTGCAGGATGGCCTCCAGGCATGACTGGTAATAGTGCATGTCCTTTTCCAGTTCCCGGCTCTCCACATCAAAGACATAAATCAGAACCTCCACATTTCGGAAGATGTTGTCTCGTTGGCTAGTGAAGTAGTTTTCCATGAAGGTGTCCTGTCTAGTAGGAAAAAAAAATAAGCAAGTCCTCAGTTTAGTCCCTTCTACTTATGATCTATCTTATGTGAAAGATAATCTAAAAGCTTCAAATGACAGGGCAAATACCAGTAATAGCAAACCGCTCTGGTTTCAACTTCTTACTTAAGCCTTGCACTACCCTAAGGCCCTCTCCTTGGGCTCCAAACATACTTTGACCTGTCCTTGGTTCTCGGAGACCCGTGGTCTATTCCCTGAGGGGCCTTGACACACGCTGTTCATTGCCTCACCTGGCACTACCTCTACTTCTCATTTAACTCCTAACTTGTCCCTTTAGATTTCAGTTCAATCCGTACTTTACAAAAAAAAAAAAAAATCCCTGACCTCCCTGACAGGCAAATCCAGTCACCATAGGCCCTTTTACCAATACACTGTTCTTCTTTTTAACATTTACAAGTATGATATTACACATCTGCATGAGTTTTTAATTAATGCCATTCACTTCCCTAAACAGAAAGTTCCGAAGTAAGGAACATTTCTGTTACTGTTCGCCACTGTTGCCCAGCTTTTAGCATAGAGCCTGCCATTGAATAGGTGCCCAGTGAATATTTACTGAAGAACAGTCAATACTCTGAACTATATGAAAATGACTCTAGGAACACTTTTTAGCAGAATGTTGCTCTCTGCTTCTTAGGCTGTGTGCTGTTTCCCAAGAAATTCTCAATTACCAGGTGCCTAGCAAAAAACAGAATTTTGTTGTGGGAAAAAAACTAATGAACTTAGCTTCCAGTCCTGTACTTTGCTATTAAATGGCTGTGTAGCCCAGCCAGTATGGCTCAGTGGTTGAGCATTAACCCGTGAACCAGGATGTCATGGTCCAATTACCACCAGTCAGGGCATGTGCCTCATTGCAGGCTCAATCCCCAGTGGGGCGGGGGGGAGGGCGTGTAGGAGGCAGCCAGTCAATGCTTCTCTCTCTCCCTCTCCCTTCCTCTCTGAAATTAATAAAAATATGTTTAGCCCTAACTGGTTTGGCTCAATGGCTAAGATCGTCAGACGACTGAAGGGTCCCGGGTTCTATTCCGGTCAAGGGCATGTACCTCAGTTGCAGGATCAATCCCTGGACCTGGTCAGGGCCCGTGTGGGAGGCAACCAATCGATGTGTCTCTCTCACACTGATGTTTCTGTCTTTCCCTGTTCCCTTCTACTCTCTCTAAAAATTAGTGGAAAAATATCCTCAGGTGAGGATTAACTGTGTGTGTGTGTATATATATATAATGAATAAATATATATAAATAAATGGCTGTGTGACCTTAGGAGATGCATAATATCACTGGACTTCAGTTGCCTTATGTGTAAAAATGACAATAACATCTTATTGCCTAAAAGAGACTTGGACTGATTTGGCACAGATTACAGAATTGGAAGCAATGGTAATAAGGATTTGTATGGAGAAATCTGCTAGGGTGCTAAGTAATCCATCTGCTAGCAACAGTGGAGTCATTCTCTTATGGAATATTTGGCTATTTTGTTGTTGTTTTTAACAGATACTCATTGAGCACCTATTCCATGTTTGGTTCTAGGCTAGGAACTGGGAAATGCTGAGCTAACATTGACTGTATCTCGTGAAGCATTTGGCTACGTGTTTTTTAACATATTATCTTACTTAATCATCAAAACAACCCTATGAGTTGGTACAATCATTATCTCTATTATATGGATGAAGAATCTGTGGTTCAGAGAGTTTAAGTGATCAATGCAAGATAACAGCTAACAGGGCTGAGATACAAATGCTAATATAACTCCAGAGCCTAAGCTCCTCACCAGTACACTACACATCAGCTGAAGATCAAATGGCCATAGGGTAGGGAGCAATACCGGCATACAAGCATAGCGAATGTTCATTTGTGATGGGATATTTGAGAACTGCCTTGGCCATGAGAGAAAACACTGTCTCCTACTCCTTCCACAGTGGAAAGATATGTGCTTAGGTCTTATGTATAGTGCTTAGACTGCCTGGAGATAATTAATACATAGCCCGGCCTGTGTAGCTCAGTGATGACTCGCATCATTGATGTTTCTCTCTCTCCCCTTCAGCCTTCCTCTCTGAAATCAATAAAAAAAAAATCTTTTCTAGTCAGGGATCTTGATTTAATCAAATGCCAATTCTAAATAAATTTTTATCCAATGTATCTCTTATGGAAGGCAGCTATGCTCACCACTATACCACCAACGCCAACCAATGTGTCTATTATGAATGATAGTTACTCTAGTATTCTCCATGCTGATTACTGCCACTGGCCTCACAAGTAATCAGATGGTACTTACCCACCACAGTCCCACAGGTTCAACACCAGGTTTCCCAGAAATCGAACATGGGAATGTTCTACATCAACTGGAAGGTAAATATGACAAATCTAGTAATTGCAGCATGCGAGGCGAAATTCAAACTAAGCAAAGCACTAAGCCCAGGATTTAGAAGGACCAAAGTGGAGTGAAATGCTCAAAGCCACAAGAAGGTGATTTTTAGCTTAATAGCGTGGTTTAGTGGCAAGGTGGCACCCCGATTATCCTGCGCTACAGAACTGGCTCTCATGTGAGTCGTTTTACTTTTTAGTAGTTTAGTGCTTAAAGCAGAAACAACTGCCAATTAAAATACTAATGTTAAAATCTCAACATGTAAGACAGAGACATATACCATTTAATAGCGCTTCCCTGACTCATTTACCCCTACTAAAGCTCTTCACAAAATAATTTTTAAAACAAACAAACAAAAAACACCCCCAAAACATACAACATAACCATATTCACTCCTTCTATTGATTTCCTTATTTTCATTACTGACCTGACCAATTCCCACATTGGGGGTGGTCATTTTTGACTCCTCTGTCCACATTCATTCATTACTATCCCTTATAATCTCTTTCAATTCCCACTCCTTGCTTTATAACCTGCCACTAACATTAAGGAAGGCCCTTCCCTTCGCAAGCCTACACAACCACAATAGCTCCATAATTACCTTCCACCAGGAAGCCTTACCCCCTTTATTTTACCCTCTAGGCTACTGCCAGGTTCATCTTCTTAGCACTACTTTGAACATGTCACTCCCCATTCAAAAAACTTACAAAGGCTCCTCTATGTCTATAGGGGGGCATTCAAGGTCCTTCAGAATGTGGCTTCCAAACTCCCTTTATATTCCCCAATGAGGCACATTAATAATGCCTTTTGCTCCAGTCCAATCTGGTTTATTCATAGTCCTCCCAAACCCCACTACCTCCCCAACCCCCAATGTACCTTACATCAGGGGTCGCAAACTTGCTAATAGGGGCCAGGCCAGTAAACATACAAGAGCAAAGTTAATCATTTCTGAAGAGTAAACATTTACCCAAGGGGTCGATGGCGTGAGTGGCAGTTACTCGGCTGTAGCTCATTTGCCATGCAGGAACATGGGTTTAGGATTAACAGAGGTTTCAATTTTTCGATCGTAGTGGGAAATCCAGATTTTTATGGAAACACTTACGTGTTGATAACTAATTCCAATTCTTAAAAAACATTGTTCAGGCCAAACAAAACACATCTATAGGCCTTTTCCAGCACACAGGCTGCCTGTTTGCGACCTCTGCCTTACGCTTCCCTCCCACTCCCTCTATACTTTGCCTAGTCTGTCCATCTGCCTAAAAAGTCCTCCCCACCTTTCTTTAAGGGTTAGATTCATCTTCTAAGACCCGACTAAAACCCCCACTCCTCTAAAAGCCCTACCTGGCCACCCCCACTTACCGTCATCACTCCCTCTGAATTCATTCAAACATTTACTAAGCACCTACTCTCTGCCAGGCACTAAAGGTCACAAGGAGGAAAAATAAAAATTCTTATCCTAGAAATTTTTCAAAGTGTAGCAAGTATCACCTTTACAATTTATGTGATAGTCAATCAATCACACAGTGGTATTTCTTCTATGACTAGCTCGAAGCTGTTGCTTAAACTACTGCTAACTTTTGTGCAATTTTAGATTCTCATAAACTGGATGGTAAGCAGCAGAGCATTATTTTTTTAAATGGACACTGGAGCCAAACAGTTCTTAGTTCTACCTCTCTGTGTGACCTTGGGCAAGTCACTTAACCTCTAAGTTTAAGTTTCTTCTTCTATTAAAAAAGCTGGGAGGCAGACTACTGACCTCACAGGCTTACTGTGAGGATTAAAGGAGCTATCATACATAAAGTGCCTGGCACATAGTAGGTGCTCAAACTACCTCCCTTCTCCCCTTTACTTCCCCCTCCTTGGAAAAGGAATCATATCTTACATGTCCTTGTATTTCCAACAGAGTCTACGAGAGAGTAGGTGCTCAAACTGCTATTAATTTGAAGACTATGTAAACGGTCTAGTACTAAAAAAAAATGGAAAGAAGTGCTACTGAGAAAGGGAAAGACAATAACAAAAGAAGTGACAGGATTCAGTGACTGTTTAGATATGGAGCACATGGAATAGAAATCTGGTTTCTATTCCCCATATCACAGATATTGTTCTCATTGACCAATGGCCTAACTGCCAAATCCAGTGGACTTTTTAGTCCTTGTCTTACTTTCTATAGTATGACACTGTTGACTACTCTCTTCTCAAAAAATTCTCTTCTCTCAGCCTCTGATATCACATCTACAACCTCTTTGGCAGACCCTCCTTCATGGTCTCCTATTCTTCTTTCTGCCCCTTAAATGTTAGAGTTCTTTGGGATTCCATCTTTGGTCACCTACTCTTCTATGTATTCTCCTCTTAGGCATGCTAATCTATTCATATTATTTTATTTTCCATTTGGATACTGCTATCTCTAATACAGATTTCTCTCCTCCCTTTCTGAATCATATATTGGACATCTTCACTTGAATAAACCACAAGTATCCCAAACTCAACGTTTGCAACTATAATTCATCATCTCCCCATTCTTCCTATAAAATCTATTCCTCTTTCAGTCTTCTCCATCTCACAGAATGTAACCATTTGCCTAAGCAAAAACCTTAGTTTCATCCTTGAGTCTACTCTTTTCCCCACCATTCCCCCCAAACCTATCAATCAGCAAGTCTTATTGACTCTACCTGTTAAATACATCCCAAATCCATTTACTTCTCATCATATCTATGACCACCACCCTAACCAAAGTTAAGCCTCCATCATCTTTTACTTGGTCTACTAAAATTGTTTCCTGATTTGTTAACCTGTTTCTACCCTTGCCTCCCCTAACCTATCCTCCATATTACAGATATAATAGTCTCTTGAAAATGCAGATTTTTACTCCAGTTTTCTTTAAAAAGAAAAAAAAATTATCTCTGTCTAAGTCTATATATGTATGATTGTATACACTCAGGAAAAAAAGGCCTGAGAATGAGGAAAGGAATATACTTTCTACACTTCTATGATGTTTGAATTTTTCACAAATATTATACTCTTGTCATTGAAGTTGAACATTAAAAATGATAAAATATGACTGTTACTTTCTGTTTAAAATTTTCTAGGGGCTGCCCTCTACTCTCAGTTCAAACTACCTGGCATGGCTTATAAGGCACTTTATGATCTAAAACCCACTTTTTGCCTCCCTCTTTAGTCTCATAGCTCTCCTAGTCTTCCTATCCTGCTATTATAAGAGCAACTGGAATGAACCAAGAACAGTACTTTGGGAAATCACATACATTTATGGGGCAGAAAGAAAAAAATATTTTTTAAAAAAGAGGGAGAGCTGATTAAAAATAAAGGAAGAAAACCAGGGTAATAAGGCATTAAATAAAAGCCAAGGGAACAGAATTTTTGAGAAGATCGGAAATCTCAGAGCCGTCAACAGTGTTTTAGAATAAAATACTTCATAATCATATTTTCATTGACAAATTTACTCTTCCAACACAAACACATTTTAACAGCCCCCTAATAAAGTTATTATTATCACCATTCTGTATCCTTCAAATTTCAAAACAAGTAGACTCTAAGTTTAACAAAATCAAACTGGACTTTTTCATCAATGACAATCTAGAAAAAAAACACTAAACATTAAAGGTGATGTAATATATTTGACGTACTCTTTTACTATTTTTAAAGAAAATTTTAAAAGCTGCATACAAAAGAATAGCAGGTAAAAATTAATGAATTTTTAATTAGTCTATAAGTTAAGCAGTAGAACCCAATGACGAACGAACTAGTTAATAATACACTAAATCATGAAGGCCAACACAATATTTTAAAGTATAACTTTTACTACCTTTAAGGAAATACAGTAATTGCTAACAAAGTATTATCAATGAAGGTCCCGCTTGAGATATCCTTAAGGGCAAGAGCTCTGTCCCATTCACAACGCCAGGAACACAGGAAGCTCTGGAAAAGCACTTGTTGAATAAACGGCCTGCTTTGATGTATATGGAGTCATATAATTTGCAACATACTGTTTATAACATTGCAATGATGCTGCTAGATTTTAAAACTATTTTAAGTAGCTCCAATATAGTTCTGAAATTTGGATCACAAGACTATTCGCTAAACTTAAGGTAGTACGTAAACTCTGCTAATTCCCTAAAAACAGAAATATTAATTGGATGAGAAAAAAGGTGCTTCAATGAAATGTAGAGAATTTAAAACATGAAGAGAAAGAAGTCTTCCAAGAATTGTGGCTGTTGCACAATGAATGGAGCAGGAGCACAGACTGACATTCCAGCTCTCATGCTTTCGAGTTGAGTGAGCTGAACTCCTGGGTCACACTTTCTTCATCTATGAAAATGAAGTTAATATAAGGACTAAAGTAAATAAAATAGCATACAATAAACATTAGCTTCCTCTAATCTACTAAAACCATGTGATTATTAGGCCCAGATATTTAATTTGGAAGAATAGGAATAAATTAAACTTTGGCAAATCAAGACAGGGAGGAAACTGGACAGGTACTTTCTAGAAGGAATTCTCTTGAAGCATGATAGGCCAAAGGACCCTGTCCTGACCAAAATTTCTGATGGACTACTTAGCTAAAAACTAGAGGAGATGTTTAGCCAGTGTACGAACTGTACGAAGGCTAGGAAAAATAAGCAACATATCTGATGAAAGAATTAAAGACAGGCTCTACCCTCTTTCATACTGATAAGGAAACTGAGGCCCAGTAAGATAGCGATTTTTGTGCTGGACTCCACAGTTAACAAACACTGGGTTCAGGAACATGCATGGGCTAAAATGAAAGAAACTGAGTAACAGAGGTAAGCATTTATTCTTAGGTTCAAATTATTAACTGCACAAGAATCAGGAGAATACGTGTTTTGCTGATAATATATGTGAAAAGAAATTGGGTGTTTTGCTATGACTCAACATAATGAAAGTCACTCCACAATAAGAGAGCCAAACGGTGCTGCCCAGAACACGAGATGTGACAATTCTATCTGCCCTGATCAGGCCACATCAACATCTGAGTCTTAGCACTTTAAGAAAAATGTAGATATGTTCAAACAAGCCCTTAAAAATCCTTCAAAATGATGTCAAGTGAGGAACAGATGGAGGAAGTGGAGATGTTTGACCTCTGGAAGATAAGACTTGGGAGGTAAGAGATGGCTAGGACTGATTGAGACATTTATCATACACAAATATTTGTAGAGGCTCAAGAGAGCGGAAAGGGGACCAGCCAACAGAAATAAAGGGAAATAGACTCGAAGCTGTAACTAAGAAATGGCTTTCTAAACGTTAGAGCTGCTCCAACTCAGAGTCTATACTACACGCCCAGCACAGAAATGAGGTTCCCTTCTCCTTTGTATCCTAGCATCTGGAACATAAGGTGTTTTTAAAATGTTTGTTTTCTTGAAACCACAGTAAGATACCTTAGGAAGTAGTGGGAGACTTGTCCCTGAAGTGTTCAGGATGCTAGAAACCCACATCAGGAAATCTTTAAAAGCCAGATAAGGGCAATGGCTTTATCACCTAGAGGTCAAGGACCATGACAGGATCCAGAAATGCTTAGATGCTGCAAAATGAAATGGCTTTACAGCCTAGAGACAAAGGGGTCTCTCAGGAGCGTGGATCCACTGGCAGCCCAGTGAGCCTACACGAGGAAGCCAGATTTAACATTCAAACCATAAAGGGCAATGAAACGTTTCTCAAGTCAAAGCCAGAACACCAGTGAGAACATTCATGTGTATCCAGGAAGAGAAACAGCAGAGCACAGATTAGGTTAACCTCCCCCTCATAACCCCCGGCCCCCAGCAATTTACCTTTTAATGAAGACTAAGAACTAGCAGCTGCTTAAAAAAAAACTTAGGCGATTTTATTGTTATGCTTGTTAATACCTATCAATTAATTTCCTTTTACATAATAACAGTTAAAAAACGAACACCTGCCCCCCCCAAAGAAAAAAAAACAACACACACAAAAACAAACAAAAAGATCCCTATGCTTGTTTAAGAAAAAGCAGGGTAAACAAGAAGTTGCACGCGGGCATCCCACTTGGTAAGCAACCTAGAAAAGAGCCACCCAAGAGCGCAAGCAGTAGTAGCCAGAATTAGGCCAAACACCTCTGCGAAGAAATGCAAACAGGGAAAACATGCTGCAAAACAAATCTTTCAACCTCTGCATGGCCAAGTTACTGCAACCAAGTGTGTTATGCGGATCATTAATAGTTAAGATCACCTGACTTTACAATAAGATAAAACATCTTACTTGTTGCACCAAGTCGACGCGTGTCTCTGGCAATATAATTTGCAAAGATAATAGATCTCATGCTGGTCTTACCAGACCCACTTTTACCCATCAATAGCACCTAAGGACAAAGTGGGGGGAAAGAATGAAAAGAAGTTAGCAATCTAAAGCAAATCAAGTCTACAGGGATCTCTCTCTCTCTCCTGTACTTGATGTTTTCCGGAAGTAACAGTACCAACAACCTGGTGCAGATAATGGCAACTAATTCCTCAACCATCTGTAAAGGCAGAGATACCCAGAATTCCAGGGCCCAGATGCGTAGCTGTCATGAGTCACACATCCTCTTGGCAACAGAACTGCAGTGAGTTTATTATGCTATTAGTATACACTATCATGTATTCAAAACTATGTTAATACCCGGCCAGCATGGCTCAGTGGTTGAGCATCTCGATCAGGGCAAATGCTTGGGTTGTGGGCTCAATCCCCAATGTGGGGCGTGCAGGAGGCAGCTAATCAATGATTCCCTCATCATTGATGTTTCTCTCTCTCCCTCTCCCGTGCTCTCTGAAATCATTAAAAATAGATATATTTTTTTAAAACTATGTTAGCGACATAGCAACTTGAGAGGAAACTGAACCCTGATCTCGCATAATCTAATGTTTTGTGCACTGAACTATAGGACAGGAGACTTTAGTATAACCAAAAGTTTTTCCTCCTGCTCAAGGTCAACCTTTCCATCTCTGCTACCCATCTCATCCTTTCCACTGACCTCCATGATTCTGCTGTCTCTTCTTTTTCAATGTCCATGGCCTACAGCAGTGGTTCTCAACCATCCTAATGCCGCAACCCTTTAATACAGTTCTTCATGTTGTGGTGACCCCCAAACATAAAATTATTTTCGTTGCTACTTCATAACTGTAAGTTTGCTACTGTTATGAATCGTCATGTAAATATCTGATATGCAGGATGTATTTTCATTGTTACAAATTGAACATAATTAAAGCATAGTGATTAATCACAAAAACAATATGTAATGATTTATGTTTTCCAATGGTCTTAGGTGACCCCTATGAAAGGGTCGTTCAACCCCCAAAGGGGTCAAGACCCACAAGTTGAGAACCGCTGGCCTACAGGATCAACTCCTTAAACTACCTATAGCACTCCTCCCTCCCCCCAATCTGGCTTGTTTATTCCTCTGCCCTCATCTTCTGATCCTCCTTGTCTGGAACTTTTATTGTCCAGCCATACTGAACTGAACTGCTCGTAGTTCCTGTCATTGCTCCCAGAACTCCAGGGACCTGTGCACTAGGTCTTTGTTTCACCTTGTACTCTCTGCCAGTAGCTTTCCATTCCCTTTTCTTTCTTCAGCTAAGCTCCACCCATTCTTCAAAATTTGGTTCAGTGACCACCTCCTCAAAAAGCTTATCTGGCCCTGGCCGGTATTGCTTGGTGATTAGAGCATCAGTCTGTATACCGAAGGGTCGCAGGTTTGATTCCCAGTCAAGGGCATATACCTGGGTTGAAGGTTCAATCCCCAGCCCTGGGGCGCATGTGGGTGTGTGTGTGTGTGTGTGTGTGTGTCCGCCCGCGCGCGCACAGGAGGCAACCAATGGATGTTTTTCTCTCTCCTCCTCCCCTTCCTCACTCCCTTCCCTTCCACTGTCTTTGAAAATAAAAAATATCCTTGGGTGAAGATTAATCATAACAAAAAGCTTCTCTGACCCCAATACCCTAGGCTGGCTTAGGTAATTCTCACCTCTGCCCTTCCATGACACTCCTACCTAAAGCGCTGCAAAGACCATAATGCATTACAGTTACCCAATTTTTTGGACTGAGCTCCTGAATGGCAGAGAGAATCCCCTTGGTACTTTCAGTGTCTAACATATAACAGATGCTCAAAATATGTTCCTCAAATGAATGGACAAGGTATCAAAACAAAGGTATTAACAAGCACATCAAACTCACGGCATGTGGCCTACTGGCTGTGAGTTTGACATGCTTGGTATAAAACAAGCAAGTTATTAACAATGAGAATTGTCCAATGGAAAGCCTGGCCTCATGACAGTGAATAACCTTCCTGTCAAGGTCAGCATTTAACAAAGACAGAAAAATACCTGTCAGAGATGCTATAGATTCTTGCACTAGAAGGGAATTGGAAGATGGTAATTCTAAGATTCTTCAAATTTATGAAACACAGTTCCAATCACCTTGCTTTTCAAATGAAGGGAGGGGTACATGTTCTATCTTCAACCCTAAAATAATGTATAAAAGTTCCTAACTGCAAATATAGGAAGTATTAATGAAAGTACACTGCACTCAAGCTCAATTTAATCTAGTTAGCTATATAACTTTATCGCACTAAGGAAATGTTACTCACGACCCAGTCTAAAATGATTAAAAAAACCGTTTTTTTCTTATTCATGCACAAATTTCTGCTATTTCCAGACAGCCTTATTAATAACTTTAGACAGGCTCATCAAGAACATCCCCTTAGCAAAGTGGAGTTTTTTATACAATATTTATTAGATGAAGTTAAGCCTAAATATGATAAATTTCTTTCTTTTTTTAAAAAATAATTCTTTATTGTTGAAAGCATTGCATATGTCCCCTTTTCCCCCATTGACTGCCTCCAGCCCGCTCTCACCCCCAACCCCCCAGGCCCTCACCGCCCCATTGTCTGTGGCCATGGGCCATGCATATTCGCATACAGGTCCTTGATTGATTACTTCCCACCATCCCCCCTTCCCTCTGAGATTCCACACTCTGTTCCATGCTTCTGAGTCTCTGGATATTTATTGTTGAAAGCATTGCATATGTCCCCTTTTCCCCCATTGACTGCCTCCAGCCCGCTCTCACCCCCAACCCCCCAGGCCCTCACCGCCCCATTGTCTGTGGCCATGGGCCATGCATATTCGCATACAGGTCCTTGATTGATTACTTCCCACCATCCCCCCTTCCCTCTGAGATTCCACACTCTGTTCCATGCTTCTGAGTCTCTGGATACATTCCATTTATCAGTTTATTTTGTTACTTAGATTCCACATATGAGTGAGATCATGTGACACTTGTCTTTCTCTGACTTATTTCACTTAGCATGATACTCTCCAGGTCCCTCCATGCTGTCTCAAAAGGTCTTTTTTTTTTAATTTAAGAAACCTTGCTTCAATTATTTATGAAAGACTGTGTTAGGTACTGATCGAAGTGCTCTACATGTATTTGCTCATTTACATGTGGTTCAGTGGTTGAGTGTCAAATTATGAACCAGGTGGTCATGGTTCGATTCCCAGTCAGGGCCCATGCCCAGGTTGAGGGCTCGATCCTCAGTGGGGGATGTGCAGGAGGCAGCCAGTCAATGAGTCTCTCTCATCATTGATATTTCTCTCTCTCCCTTCTTCTCTGAAATCAGTAAGAATGTATTTTTAAAAAGACCCTATAATGGTAACATGTGAGTTGGGTTCAACATAAATGTACAGGCAGAGGCCTGTGTATGTGTGTGTATGGCTTGCAGAAAATGCAATTCATTTGTAAATTTGGAGAAAAACAAATTCTGTATGGCTATGATAAGGTGCATAGGTGTGGTAGATGGTTTAGTCAGGAATCAGTTTTTAAAGGGCATTCTATGCCACGAAGTCCCTTGGATTTTATTCTATGGGCTTTGAGAAGTTACAAAAAATTAAATGTGTGAATGACCCAGATAGATATATGTCTCAGAAAAATTAAATTAAGAAGTAAAGAATGGGACAAGAGTCTGGGAGAACATTTAGAAGGTTACTGCAACAGTCCAGGAAAAATGGTTACACCACATTTTCTGAACAGTAACTTCTTACCTTCACCTTCATGTTTTTGATGTACTTAATGCATCTTACCTTTTTCTTCAAGGCTGTATTTGGCAGCGCCCACCTGCAGATATAAACCATAAGACAGAATTTCCATGATCCAATTGCCTTAGAAATTGGGATTAAAGAAATACAAATCAATACAGAGATGCAAAAGAGCATATTTAGCACAACAGCTGAGAATGGCTGTGTGTGAGACCTCAGTTGAGCAGAAGCCCTCATTTTCCTAAATTATATAACTGGGATTATGCTAACCTATCCCCTAATTACATGCTCAGGCGATAGCTCCTAGTTATATTTATTTAGGAATATAAATGAGCCATTAAAATGCAAGATTCCATTTTTCATAACCTTAATTTTTTTTAAGCAAAGCAAACATACACAAGTGCTTTAACAAAGCAAACAATATTGCCATATTTAAATGTCCTCTATTTTTTTAAAGCCAGCCTCCGATTTTAAAAATGTGGGAGCATCTTTAACCCTTCAGCTGTCTTTCCAAGTCATATTTCACTCATTGCAGGCACAAAGGATATAAAATACAAGATTCAATTGCAGATACAAATTGGCACAGAAAGCACTCGCAAGTCCATGATCTCTGCCCAGGCAATACCAACCCTCCTTGTTAGTCTTCTTATCCTCAATATGATGCCAAACCTCCTTTATTGATCATTCAAAGCAATTCAGAACCGTCACCTCATTTAGAACATACCTCCCAAGGCTGGTATTAGGCCTATCCCTTCCCCTCCCAAGGGTTTTTTCAGCCCAGTTACCAACCAGCCCTCTACAGTTTACCCAGTCGCCAAAAGCATGATACTAATCAACCTTACTGGTAAACAGAAGCAAGTTATCGCGGGTGGGGTGTCCTAATCCACAATACTCTCTTCAGTTAGAAGCTC